CATTCAGTTAGGAATTATCACAAAAGGTTAAATTCGGTTGAGTTTCCCCTTTACGAATGAGTGTCTTGCTTCAGCGGTTGCTTCGGGTGTTGGCTGGCCGGATGTCACTAGAGGACTTAAATAGTGCAACTCAGACAGAAGTGAACTACCTATTTATTGCCACTCGCAGCTCGAACCCAAAGGGATGAATGGACGAACATGAAGAACGTTGGTGCCTGAACAATAAGTTCCCTGAGGAATATTACTTATAAACTGTTTTTAAACACCTATTTACTTCGAGCAGGTTAAGTGGGCATTCGAAAGTCCGTTCTACATGGTGATCACAAGAATCCGCCTTATCCGTCTCTTCACAAAATTCAAACGACTAATATTCATGTGGAAAAGAATAAACAAATGGTTCGAAACAGTTCATTTTCGTATTTCCTCCATTAGAGTCAACCAAGAACATACCGGACTTCCAGCGACAGTGCTTTGGGAAAGGAAAATTACACTGAACATAAATGCACACAAGTGAGAGTGGGTCTGGACACACATTATATCCGATCGAAACACAAAGTTTGCGTATAATATCCATGAAATAATATTCCATAAAAATAGTATCACTTTGGGTGTCGGTGTGAGACGGAATGCTACAATGGGTGGACGTCTTCCTTTTAGCACTCTTCGTTCGCGGTGTTTTCCTTGACGGAGAAGCATCGATTTACCATTGTCGGACTAGCCATGGTGAACAGGTTTACTGCATTGGCCGCCAGTCCCAGACAACGCCAGCGTTGCCTTGCTAATGTATCACGCATGCTGGACTCAATCATTGGGTAAATATCCAGTGTCGAACTTGTTTCGAGACGAATCCATGGATGTTCGAGTGACTGATCCAGTGTGGCACGTTCTTCCGGATCTGGTTTCAGTAGAGAAGCAATAAAGTTTTTAGCTGACTTGGAAATATGATCCCAATGCGGGTGATGGAAATGGTAAGTACCGGACATAATCTGCTTCTTGATCTCATTGTCATCCTGATTAACCGAATAGAAAGGAGGATAACCACAAAGTAGTATGTAGGCAACCACACCAATACTCCAATTGTCCACCTCAGGTCCATATCCTGACTTTGTCAGTTTACTTTTCAGCAGTTCAGGGGCAGAATAATCCACAGTGCCACAGTTGGTCATCATTTTGGGTTGAATTTCACGGGATAAACCAAAATCTGTTATTAGGAGCTTAGAGTCATCAGTCGGACGCTCAAAAAGTATATTCTCCGGTTTTATATCACGGTGAACGTAACCGGCCGCATGCATGTATCGGACGCCAGATAGCATTTGGGCAATTATCACGGCCGCATCTCTTTCGCAAAATTTTCCACGCTTAATAATCCTATCAAAAAGTTCTCCTCCTTCGGCCAGTTCCATGACCAAATAGATTTGATCAGTCTCATCAACAAGGTCATATAGTTTCACCAGATTCGGGTGATCCAAGGCCCGCATTATAGCCGCTTCTCGGTACATCAGTTTCTTTATTTTTTTCTCCACCTCCTTTGGTGAATACTTCTGATACGTTGGTTTGGCTCTATCCACTCGCTTGATGGCAACGAACCGGCCCGTTTGCAGATCTTTGGCCTTGAATACTTCGCAGAATCCGCCATCCCCCAAGCGGCTGATGATTTTATAGCGATCACTTTTCAACGGGTCTATTTTAGCCTTCCTTGCCAGCTCTCGTTGTTGGGCCGTTTTTCGACTCATCCCCGAATTACCATTTGACACGTACCTGGCCCATTGAGGCGACCTAATGTGATGCAGACTGTTCAAACCTGCCCGAAATATCGATTTCGGTATCGATTCCAATGTGGTGGGCTTCACTGAACATGATCAGCTGGGGTCATTATTAATTCCGCTTTCCGAAGCAATCTTAGGTATAATTCATAAACTTGCGATATACATAAAACGTTTAACCAGTGTTCCTCAGAATACTGATTCATATAAATCATCCATTCAGATCTCGAATAGTCAAGTTGGATTGGAGGAGGAAATTTCTTAACTCTGTGGTGTTGTTGTGGTGAATCTGATCCGGGATTGTTTATCCGTCGACTTTCACAAATCAATCCACTAGAGAACTAACCAGCTTTCACCAGGTTGAGGCGGTAGCATGCTACAGTTCAACTAGTAATCCCCCAGAGCTGCTATCGGTAAGGCTGTTTGGTGGATGCTGCTGGTTAACGCTTACAGTTTCAAAGCAAGCTTTCCTATCCGCAGAGGCCATAAAGGAAACTGGCAGTTCCCTATCGCTCCTGAATGCATATGAAGCCCATCGTGAGGTCTAGATCGTCCGGTTGGCCAGCTTCAGTCCGTTTCACTTGTCTGTGCGGCTCACCACCGAATCAGCATTCCAGCTGTCCCAGCTCAACCGTCTGTCTATACTACACGCCTGAGGCGATTGGATGGGCTGGGCGTTGCTGACCCTCTGACTCAGTTTCACCAGGGTGCATTCCTGTCCAAGGGCCAGAAGGATTGAGCTCGAAATTCGCACTTACCTGTCACACCCACGAACTCGAGAACCCGACGTCCATGGCTTCCCTTGCACTGATGCATGCACCGAACGGGTGTGCCACATGTCCACGCGTCCGTAAACGCGATGTGCGCATTGGATGAATCGTAAAAGCAAGTGAAATATTCAGGTTTCGGAGTTGGGGCTGTCACAGTAGGCTACCCATGAACATTTTACAAAACGATAGGTAGGTGGCACTGCAAAGTAGCCAGCAGCAAACATGGTGTGAGGTCGCGCTAGCGTGGCTTTGAATCAAATGTGGCCGATGAAATCCGAATATCAAGATCGTGATATGTATTATTAATTCCACAGCAACATTGAGAAACGGTAGTCAAAGTATAGACAACAGACCTCAGTCTCCCACGTTTGTGGGACTAAACAGAATAACTGAACGATCCACTTAAACGCGCGCTGTCATCAAGTCAGAACACGCAAAGAACTGATGACGGCAGCTGTTGAGTCGTGCGGTAACGGTGTGAAGTGTCAGTTGGCTGAACTTCGAGTAAGTGGTCATTCCGACAGCGCAAGATCGGGCGAATCATGCGCAATAGATAGGACATTAACCTCATAGCAAAAACCGAGTTCAAAATAGCACAACACAGAATTTTAAAAAAACAGTCTCTCAAGTATAGTATTCTTATGTAAACATAACGTGCATAATCCACTGGCTTCTCCCGGCTGGAATTCAACAATGACAAAAGCTGCTAATATGTTGTGCGAGAAAATGAGGTAAAACTGACTTGGCTATTACCGCTTAATCTGGGAAATTCACCGGCTCAATGAGGATTACTCTTTCAGTGTAGCAGTGCCTGAACTGGTAAAGAACGATTTGTCATTAGTCAATGAAAATAATTAAATATAATGAGTTAAATTAATAAATAGTTTCTTTAGCAAAGCATGAATACTGAATCCACTTTGCAATTGAACACCAGCCTAACAAGGTTTTTCTAGAAAATCGGTTTTCGTACACATCAGCCAGGGTCGATCTCAAGTTGGTCCGACTTATCAAGGCAAATAGGTCGACATATCGAAAGTCGGTTTAACTGAATCCAGAGACAAACTCTGCATTGCAGATTTGCTTGGAGAACATCACGAGCAAATCTAATCCGAATCTCTCGCCCCCGTCATTTTGTGCTGCGAGTAATTTAGCTGCGCAGTAATGGAATACTGGGGTAGTGCAAAGGTTGCGTTTTTCAAAAACTGAAACCACGTGCCAGAGTCTTCTACGACTCGCGTATCCAGCCAACCAGTGATGTGATAGTTGAATGTCCCTAGTCCTCGCACGAACGCATCCATTGCAGGTAGTGGGGCCTGCTCTAAGTACACATGGTATGAGCGCTCATGGCGTGACGGCCACAATCAACCAAACGGACGTCACGAGGTTGGGCGGTAGGCTCGTCAGAGAATAAAAATATCCAGAATTGGGCTGTCCATCAATCAGATGGGCACGCTCGTCGACTGCTTTGTCCTGTGGTCGTCGGAATTCTGTAAGCGATTTGAATTGCATCCCCGATTCATCCCTCATTACAGTAGCATGCTGTGAACGTTAAAGAACGAAAGAGAAATCCGGTAAACGCTATCGTTTGATTTAATTCACCATGGAAAATATGCTGCCCTATGCTGTCTGGACGTGACACATCACTCCTAAAGTTGCTGACCATCA